CTCTCTCGCTCTCTGTCGCCTCTTCAACAGCAGCAGTAGCATCAACAGCAACGGCCAGCACGACGTCTGTGTAAAAGGGTACACACGGAAAGTGACGACGGTGGAAGCATAATCCTCCGCGCTTAGCGGTACGTGGGGCTGAGTGGCGTTGTGTGTACGAACGTGGATCTCTCTGCGTGACTCGATTACGGGAATGGTTCCCCGAACGGAAGGGTATGCGTGGCTCGCCGAGCCCGGCTTCTCTCTGGTGGTGCACGGCTGGCTCCGTCGCTGCTGGAACCCCCCCGTTTGCGTTTCGCGCAGAATCAATTTCCTCGCGAAAACGACGACGGCGCCGGCGACGCGCGCGGCGAGTGCGCGAGCGTGACCGCGCGAAACCGCGCCTGCGTCTCCGCGTCGTTGAACGTGTCTTAGCGACGTGTGTACGTGCAAGAGCGGCCGTACTCACATCTACAGAGGACAGAGGGACACGCACCCCCTCGACGTCGTCGTACCGCGGGGGTGAATGTGCGTACGTACGAGTAAAATCTGGTCCACCGATAGATTCCGAACAACTCCGAGTCGGCCCCGATAGGCCAGTCTCTCTTTCTCTCTCTTTCTCTCTCTCTCTCTCTCTCTCTCTCTCTCTCCCCCCTTTCCTCCTCCTCCGGCGCGGCGCGGCGCGGCGCCCCCGCGACACCCCCGACGCTCCGCGTCGCGGCGTTGTTCTCCCTTCCGTCCTTGCATGTGTGTTTTGTGTGTATGCACTCGCAGGATGAACGCATTCCTGCTACGAGGCGGGCGGTCTTGTCACGATGTGTTCCCTTCCTCCTTTTTCGAGATATACCGCTATCGATATTCTATCAGACCACCTATCTGGATATCCGTTTGTCTATTTGCAGGTCTAGCTGTTCTGTACCGCTTTCTTTTACTTGAATAACTATATATATATATATATGTGTATAGTTCGAGCTGAGACAATACTGCTCCGCTCCTTATCCGAAATATCTCTTCTGCCGAGTTTTGCCTTGACAGATAAATTACAACGAATCGCTATTACTTTCGCAATTAATCGTTATATATCATTATTTAATATTTAATAGTGCAATTAGATTACTTTTTATACTCTCTCTCGTGAGTATTCGTATCGCGCGGCACACTTGTATAGATTTATACCTATTATACATGTGCCTTTGTAAATTTATATACCTACATTTAGTCTATTTTAAGAAATAAATAAAAATGAAAGTTTAAACGAAAGAATTCCGATTAATCTCGAGTTTGTTCATCCGTTTGCTTAACGGTATTGTATATTCCCGCTATTCCTGTTACTGTTTCTCGGTAACAACAGTTAACACTGTGACACAATGAACGAGACTTGTCTACGGCATAGATATTGTTCAGCTTTTATCCTCCAGAAATATGTGTGGACATAACTTATATGAAGAGTATCGTGTACAAGGGGGTGTACGGATATCCACGATTATTTATCGCTGTCGCCGACTCCGACGTAATACAAGAAAGTAGAATGAACAGGGGCGTATCGTAACAACACACAATTGTGCTTGCGTAAGTGCGTCGGCGTGGTCCGAGAGAAGTGTGTCTGTGCGCCGATTGTATGACGTCGGCCATTAGAAGGCACAACTCCGGCGGAGCTGAACGTAACTCGCAATCCCAAATAACTTCCGAAGGGGAACTTGTTCGATTCCCAATGCAGCTAGCCGACGACTTACGTAATATCCATTCTCTCCCAGGATTATCAATTTTAATTAAAACGAATTTTCCCCCCTCCCGCGCCCGGCGGGCCGCTTTCAGTCCCGACCAGCGTCCGCGACCAATTACGGCGAATTAAAACTAATTCGAAATAATCTTCAAAACTTTTCGCCGCCTCTCCCCCGGTTCAGTGGCCTTTCAGTCGGCCTTATCGCCCATCATTCGCACGTTCTCCGCGAAATAAACTCGACCGTAAATCCTCGTCATTCGCCCACGTCCCAATTTATATTCCGATCTCCTCGCCTCTCGGGAATATAAATAACTTTAATCATCATTGCGTCTATACTGTAACGTACCTGCGCATATGTCCATTAAATAGCATCGGCGAACGGATACTTGTGCGCGCGACACATTTAAATTCATGCCGGACACTTCGCATACCGTGTCCGTTTCCGAATAAACTAATTACACACTCGCGCTTCGCCACCTGATCGAATTACCCGTGATACGTCAAACTGGTAAATTTCCGCGCGATAAACGTTCCGTCGTAAGTAAATCCCGTCGACGAGCGAGCGAGCGAGCGAAAATAGTTACGCTGTACCTTTGACAGCGTGCGGTGAGCAAACGATCCTTTCGCGAGGTCTTGTTTACGCCGCAATAAACCTGAAAGGTCTCTGGTGAGAGACGCGCAGGAAGATGGATGGTGTGTTTCAGCTCGGCGGGCCTCGCTAAAATGCATCCGACTGTGGTGACGACGAACCTCATAAAGGTAAAAGAAACCTCATCGGGAAAAAGGGAAGACGACGGCTAATCGCGAGGAAAAGTTTCGCGAGCCCTGCAAGGCACCAATTTCTCCTTTCATTCCGCATCCGGCGCAGCCCAGGTTCCCGATGTTCCCGGAGATAGAAATGAATAACGGGGTAAGGAAAATCAACGGCGGAGCGTTCTCATTTCGGATTCATAGGTGCGCGATCGCGCGCAATGAATAGCAGCTAATTAATATACCCATCGGCGCTTGGCATCTGTTTAACATCTTAATTATGATCCATTTGAGTTTACGCCGGAGTTACCGTCGCGCGATAACTGTGCCGATCGTCAATTTATCATAAAATCAATCTCTGCTGGTTTTTCCATTTCGTCATACCAGCGATTTCGGCACGTATCCTGGACGTATCCAGGAGGGAATTTGAAAGAAATTCAAACCATTCCCGAAATGTTTTATTTGTTTTTTCATTTTCAATTATTAAAAAAATACAACTGTACGCTGAATAATTTTTTTTTATTATTACATAACATTCTTTTTTCTTCTTGTCATATAACTATGTAAATCATTTCCAGTTAATTAATGTTTGGACAATATCCGCATATGCGATATTTTTTCACAATTGCACATTTTGCTTTTAATAACCATACGTAGTTTAGTTTTACGTATATTTTCTTTAGAAAAAAACATTATAAGTTATGATTTACGAAATCTAATAATGTTCCTATTCAAAATCGCACGGAGAGAATTTTTTCTTAGAGTGAAAATGTGATATTCGTGGGATAACATTATATTTCAAAGAATTTAAATGTAAAATCTCTCTCATTCATAATAAAACTATAATAAAATATATAATAAGTTTGATTAACCTTACTGAAGTGCATAATAAAAATCTTTAAAATATCGTATTGTACCGGAACTATATTTTCAGGGTAAATTTTAAAAGAAAATTCTCTCCGTGCAGAAATGAGAATGAGACATTCTAAGTTATAAAATATTAAAAAAGGGAGTATCAATTTTTTTATTTCATGTCTAAACAACAATTTTTTGTTAATTAATTTTTTAATATTCTATTACTGTAATATTCTAGATATGAAATAATAAAATTGATACTTCCCTTCCTCTTTGAAAAAAGATTTTTGATACGCTCATGAATTTCAGATATCAACCGACATCGTCAGTTTTCTGTGAAAAGAAAGAACGGAAGAAAAAAAAATTACATTGCCGATCATGTAATCGCCAATTGTAATTCGATACAGCGCGTTTTGTACGTTTTATGAATATTACATAACAAAAAGTAAACTCTTTAATTATAATATCCCTTATAATCGGCGTCTCCATAAATTCTAGCGCGAATATACGTGACCGGAACGGCTGCTGCCGTGACTTGCGTAATATTCCATTAATCCCAATGAAAGAGAGGAATTGCGATTGAATGAGTTAACGAACTTGAACCTTTTACCGTGTATAAATAAACACGAAAGTATCCCGCTTGTGTCTGACCGTCTTATCCATCTTCATCTCAGCGCGGAGCTTTGAAAAATCATGAAGATTATATATAATAAATAGCGTCAATATCTAAGGTAGACAATTCATTAATATACTATGAGTAGACGGCTCGTCGATATTTTTCCAACGTCGCCAACCAACGACAAAAATACGAAAATTTCAACGCTTCGTCGCCTCGACGATATCGAGACGAACGCGAGAATTCATGCAAGTATCGTTACTTTCAACGCTCTCCGCTCTCCTCTCGCCACTTTTCCTGCCTCGTCACGGCTTCAACGCCACCCTCGTGGAATCTCTTCGCGCACCCTCGTGCTCACTGCTTTCCGCACTGGGGAACGGAAAGCAGACGAGGGGCGAGATGGAACGGCCCCGTTGGCGTTAACGCAGCGCTGACCGAGCCGAGTGAACGTCGTTATACCTCTTTCGAATCATCGAACGATGTACGAGCGTCGTCGTGCGCGGTATACCTTCTAAATAACGTAGCAGCACATCCACGCTATGTTGTTCGCCAGGGGATATAAGCCAATCCTCTCCAATCTCGCCGATAATAGAGACGAGGAATAAGACAAGCAAAATTTCGATTTGACGTACTTTCGCGACTTTATTAAATCCAGAGCCTTTTTCAGAGAACAGAAATATACAGACAGCGGAAATATGGTGGAAAAGTCATCGCCGTTACGTTCCCCGTTGGATTCGATACGATTCAAAGATGTAACAAATATAATAGATCTGTGACAATTTTTGTATCTCTGTGGCCTTACTGCACAGTTTTACATTTATCTTTACACTCTGTACTTCGTTGCGGAATTAGAAATGCATATTTAATAAAATATTTGTTTCAGCCTCGGAATGAAAAATCACCGATATTAGAAGGATATACAATCGCCAGTATTACAGATGTATTGTCGTTCTTGAACCTTTAAAAAGTTTAAGTAGATGATTTAAAGATAACGTAAGTTAGTAGGTGGGATGCTTAAAATACATATTCAATAATAAATGTTACAAGTTCCATTTTTCACTAGTATATCACGTTATAGTTAAGTTTACATTAGTTAGACCCTTGTAAGATAGGGAAGTAAAAAAATAATGAATTTTAAGACTTTTAGTCAATATTTTGTATTTTATTTTTCCAACAAGATTTGAAAGAAAACTATGCCTGAGGTGCTTGTGGCCATCCCACTTAAAGTTTTCGTTTTTTAGTACACTCCAAGTTTATGTCACGTGTACGAAAAAGTACACGTGACAGTTACGCTCATGTTATACAACTGAGACGTAGCCAGTATGCAAGAGGGATTGTTGGCGATAACGTGTATTGTTGTTTCATTTGCGCGATTCCTGGCGAAAATAAAAGTTGGAGGGTAAGTCGGGTGTAAAGAGAAAGTAACAAATTGAGCGACAAATTGAGACAACGAAATACGTAAAAGAAGCGTAAACGTCTCTCTTTTACGTATTATTGTCTCAATTTTCGCCTTCCAGAAGCTTCGTTTACGCTTCTGTTACTTTCCCTCCGCATTCGGCTTACACTTCAATTTGTATCTCCGCCAGAAATATACCAATATTATACTTCTCGCAACTATCAGTTTCAGCTGAAATGATGCTCGAGTTTCTAATCGCGCACGGCGATCACCGGGAGATACAATCGTTAATATATGTACCCAGGCCGATCTGATTAAAAATCCACAGCGTTCACATTTCCCATATAGCGGCCATATGCCGCTTGTCGACGTAGCTCCAGAATGCCTTTTAAATTATGGAGCACGGGGAATGTCGTACGTTATACGATTGCGTGCCCCGGTGCAACAAGCGGCCACTCCCGGCAGGGCTGTTTGCGAACAACCCTTGCCTTACTTGTCTCACGCTGCCCGGCTCTATCCGGACGGAGGGCGGCTATAACGCCGCCCAGGTCCGGGAACGATACCCAGCAGGCTAATTTCAGGATAAGCCGCGGTAATGCCGCGTACAATCGTCACGCAGCGCGCGACGGCGCGACGAGGGTAAATTCGGAATCCGAGGATCAATGCTACCTCCTTCATTAGACGACCATTCGACCGTTCGGCGCTTGTCAGAAATATTAATGACGATGAAATTACGGGCTCGGTATAATTGCTGAAATACAGACGGATTGATTCGGTATACGCGAGAATCACAGATCAATTTCGTACGATCGCGGTCTGTCAAGCCTCTCGCCTTGTTGTCCGTCCGGCCGTACACTTTTCGCT